ATTTTAAGCATATTTGTGTTGCTTAGAGTGAAAACATTTTTGTCAAAAATATACACAATGCAATGAAATTTATTGAATTTCATTAGTAGTTACTTTTGCACAATATAGTACAGTCAAACCTCTTTATCATGGACACTGAAAGGCCAATGTGTCTGTATTATGGAGAGAATGGTTGTACAAAAACTGATTTTCTCTTTTGAACTGTGTATAATTTAGAGATGTCTGCATTATGAAGGTGTCAGTAAAGAGTGGTTCAACTGTGCTATTGTCTCTGTTCCACATAGTTTATGTAAAAGGAATTTGTTGTTACTAATTAATTTTTACTAATTTTCTTAATTTTTCATATCTTAATGTCATAGTGAAGAGATGGATGTTCCTCAGATGGAGTCATCAGAGGTTAGCTTTGTTTAGTATTTTCAGTTTTTTGCTTGTCAGTCTCTATGATCAAGCCATGTATGTTTTCTATGCAATCTTTATTGTCAGGTATTTGCCATTTTGAGTTATGAGAAAGTTACAAATGCCTCATGTGGGCTCGTCTTGGGTATGAAAAATTTCACACAGTAGGGCTTAGGTATACATGTATGGGTTACTGACCAAGCTTGTTCGGTCAAGATGGCTGGATATTGGCTGAGTTCCGTTTTTACATGTTTATGGACCAAGACTCCGTCTCTAGGATTTATTATTTGAAAAAAACACTGTTTTCTTGCAGGACACGGGGTAATCCCAAGCAGGCAAGATAGCGCCATCTTGCCCGCTCGGGTAGCCAATCACAGTGCAGGATTTGGTTCATCTTGTCCACTCACAGAGCTACACATATAATGAAAGAGTGTAAATGTTCCCTCATAGGAGAATATTAATGAATACCTAGTAATAATAGCGGAGTTCCTGATTGCAATAATTACAGTAACCATAAAGGGAAAAAAGGATTTGTTTTTCTTGGATCAGAAACTTAAAAAATGATCAATTGTGAGCATGTAATAGTTCAGCGTGTGGTTTTGTTATTTTTTCCAGTTAAATTTTAACAAACTACTGTATACCCAATAAGCATAACCAAGATTGTGGAAATTACGTTCACAATATACATGTATCTGGGACTTTCCAAGAGACAATTGTGCAAGGAATATGTCGGAAGAAAAGTCAAAAACATGCCACGGGTTAATATGCCAAAATTTGCCTTTGCATGAACTCCCTCCTTCACCCCCAGAGTAATAACCTGACTTGAGCCTGCGATCCAATTTAAGAGCAAATGCACAGAAATATTGAGCAAAGCATGGCCACGGTCAGAATTTAACTAACCTTTGTTTGGAGTTTATAGAGAAGTATTTAGGAGTTTTCAAAGGTTTTGGGGTTCATTTTTCTAAATATGGCTTTCTTTCAGGAATATTTGGGAAAATGGATTTCTCGCTCTTTTTGGCCGAAAAATGGCCGAATAAATTAGCAAAAAATAACATTGCAATAACATCCTTGCATTAATAGGTAAGACTATATCTTCAGGAATTAGATACTAATATTAAAGAAGTTTTTGGCACTCTGTATTTGTCTGTTTTTTGGTTGCAGAGGATAACTGTCGTTGCAAAAAACAATCCTTTGATGAAGATTTGAAATTAGCTGTTGTAAAAGTTTTAGACTATAATTACAAAAATACTTTTCGTTATGTGGCAGGACTCGAATCGAGGTCATTTTATGGCTATAAAGTGTCGAAGTGCTCTTGTTGCATGAAATATAGAAATTTGCTTGGGTTTTTTAGCGGGTGCTTTGAAAAACACCACCCAAATCTGAGAATTTTCTCTGAAATTCCAACCACTTTGCATATTGTCACGGTGATGAAACACTGACATGTGAGCAATAAGCGGTTTAATACACTGTTGCTTTAAAAAATCCGCTTCCAATAGCAAAGTATTGAATTGAGGTTTTCAATTAGGTTAATCTGATGCTACAATGGATGTGGTTATAGAGGAGTACATTATATAAAATAAGACAAATGTTCATCACTGAGACTCTGCAAAGGTCACCAGGTCATCATATACTTTATCACTGTACAGAATATTTCATGAGCCATAATAAATTATCCCTTGAACCTGAAATGAATGCTTTTCTATGAAACCATTGATTTATTAAGTTTTTGAATATACCCGTAGACCTCTCAGAAATAACTATAGGCCAGTATCACAACCTTTTAATTATGTTTGTTTCTTATCATTGTTGGCGGCCATTGCAGATATCGCTTACTGCCGAGGTCAGTAGAAATGGTTCCTTTGCTTAGCTGTAAACGAGATATTTCAAGAAACAGGCCTACCTGAGTCAAATTGAAAATTTTTTGAAAAAGTGTATCTGCTGTTCACCATAAAATACTTCCTCGCTTTGTAATGTGATAATTGTATCGTGAAGAATTTTTTGAGTTAGCTATTTAAAGCATAATGATGGTCTGGTCGCTCTGGGACTGCAAAATACAAATAACATTGATTACGATAAACTGCCATTGATAAGCTCCACCCCCGTTTGCCCTTAGAAAAAGCTCCTGGGTGAAGGCCCATTGTAATATAAAGGAAATGATGTTCCAGTTATATTAAAACTCTTCCCTCCTAATTTAACGACATTAACCAAGAGATTATGATCCTGTATTAACTTACTTCCACACATTGTAATAGCTGCCACTGAAATAGCCATCACGCATCGAATAAGTAGAGTATACAAAAACCCAACAAGATGCATTTTTTTTATCTGAGTTTCTTGAGTGGCCACAACCTGTAAGGATAGATGAAATAGATTTGTTGTAGTACTAGAATGCATTTCCTTATCTTGAAAATTTTACTTCCATCGGTGTGCGGTGCAGCCGTTTCAAAAGGAGCATCACAGACTGACATTACCATGACTCTAAGTCATGACCCTTGACCAAATGAACTGAATTATACTTTCCTTAAGAAGATCTGGGCCGCAGCATAAAATGGAGAGTAGCTGGACAGCATGTAAAAGTAAGTCATCCTTTTTAAGCTGCGAAGCAGAGTTTAGGGCAATAATTTCATTCAAAACCTGCATGTTTGCACTTTATAGGTGTAAGTGTCTGGAATATACTAATTAGTTCAAATTTTAGTGAAACTACTCAATTTTCCAAGGCGTTTTTTAAAGCACTCGCTTAAAAACCTAGACCAATTTTTATATGAGGTGTAAGGAGAACATTTAGACTCGTTATAACCAAAAAACAAGCCTGATTGAACAATGGCCACATATCAAATAGTAGGTTGGTAATTATGAGGTGAAACTCGATTTGCTGAGACTGTGGTGAAACCTTATCAAAGAATGTGTTCTCGTAGCAAGAAACATCATCTAGAACCAAAAGGTTGGCATAAATAAGGTGTAAAATACTCCTCCTTTTATGTTGGCTTCTTTCTTCCTGGTGATATAGACTTTACTACTTATGCAAAGACCTTAATGCGAATGCCAATTTAGGCTAATTATTCTGCTATTTTTTGCCAGCGAGAGTGTAAAAATCGATTTTCTCAAATAATTCGAAAATCCGGCCATATTTTGATGAAGAAACCCCGAAAACTTTGAAAACTCGTTAATACCTCATTACAAATTGAAAATGAAGATTGGTTTCATTTTTGACCGTGGCCACAAGTTTTACATTTTGTTAGATTTTTCTGTGCATTTGCTCTTAACTAGTTTCTAGTCAGCGGTCAAAACATGTGAAAAAAACATGGGGCCTTGATGAGCTCCAAACTTGAGCCTGCAATATGGTCACATGATACTGGTCAGCAGATACCTTGTTTTGACAGCTGTCGATTAACCATAACATGGATGGCCAATATCAAAGATGTACCTATGGTAATGGTGTTACTCCCTAATTTTTCAAGGTATTGGACTTGGCATACGGACATACAGACAGTCACATGACAACCAAAATTTTTGTGATTGATAAGTTACCAAATTTTCTAGGGTATGGGGCTTCGCTATAAAAGTGCTTGTAAGCATTCCAGTAGAACTATGAAAATTAAAAAGAGGTGGCAAATTGTACTGAGAAAATCTTGGGTGTTCCCTTATCTCATTTTTAGTGCAGAGTGCACTATTGGGATGGTTTTCGGGGCTGCTTCCTGCTAAGGTACTAAGGCGCTATGGTGCTAAAGTGTAAACTTTACTGTTTGTTTAATTAATTAATTTCAATTAATTAATTAGTCTAGAGGCAAGGAAGTGGTGGGGGTGGGGTGGGAAAGGTACATGT